GTTGGAGCCAAAAAAAGAGTATAACAAATAAATTAAAAGGCGCCTGCTGCCTGACCCAAAAGTGCCGTTGTCCATTTTAAGAATTTTCAAGGATTGCTATCATCCGCATTCTTGGCGAATACAAGAGAACGTGCAAGACTGAGTTGGATAATACAGAGCACAGGAGCGATTTTGGCGCCAATTTTAACGATGTGTCAAAATAAACACGTTTCATCCTGAACAAGGAGATTATTCGGAACTTCTAGTTTGTTGCCCGAGAACTTCCGCTTCCAATTTTGATGCGATTGGTGGATTTTGATGCGAAAACCTTTCCGATGGGCGATGTAGACATTTTAATCTAATTAACTCCGCATTTATGATTACTAACTCTTCTGCTGCCTGTGCATGGTCTGTGATGACAGACCACTCTCTTTCCATAGTCACTTCCCTCTCTTTCTCTTAAGCGAACGGTCGTGTTTTTTTGTGCGCACTGCGTTTATGATGAATATTGGTAAACCGGTGTTTACTTAACACCGCTCAGTTAACAGTTTGGAACCGCTCTGGAGTTCTATTACCTTGCCGAGCGCTGTTCGCAGGTACACTTAATTATTTCAAGACTGGCAAACCAACTGCAGCTTAGGAAAAAAAAAATTTCAGGTGTGTTTTTGAATAGAAGCTCACTTCTACCCGTTCTTCTCACTTTGACGGCTTGTGGAAGGCTGCTGTAAAAACAGCAGATTATTATTTTATTTACTAAACGCCGTAGAGTTATTTACTCTTGTCCCTATCTCTGACCTTCTTATAATTTCATCCAGACCAGCCAAACTGAACCTCAAGCGTTTGGATGTCTGGTAACACATCGTTTTTTATCAGCAATGTTCCTAGACCCGGTGGAAGGAAGAGAATTTAAACCTATTTCAGAAACGACTTTAATGGAACGTCTCTGATTAAGAATATTTGTGAATAACATCGTGCTAATGAAGGACGAAAACTGTTCGCAATTGAAGCGGCCACTGGCGAGGGTTGTAGAGATGGTCGTCGGAGATGACGGAGTTTTTCGGGTGGCACTGCTGAGGATGGCGACCGGTGCTACAGGGCAGGCAGTAAACAATTTTTTGTTGCTGCCTCTTCGAGATGCGCACTATGGGGCCAACGACCACTTTTTTGGTTTGGCCAAAGTTTGATTTGAAAAGTCCTAGTTTGACCTCAATATCTAACAATACTGAGTTTTAGAGTGTTTTATCCCCATTTAAATGAATAAATGAATGAATGTAGTCTTAAAGAGAACTTTTTGTGCAATTCGCCTTTTTCTGAAGCCACATGAATTTTACAGCATAGAAAAACATTTGCTTCAATTGACTCTGTTTTCGCTCATGAACATTCTTTACAAAGAATGTTGTCGTTTACTTTGTGTAATGTTGTTCTTTACTTTGTGGTTGTCGGGTCAGGCAGCCGCCGCTATTTTAGTGTTAAAGCCTAGTACTCTGACGACGAAAGTCCGCTGTAACACGTGTGCTAGCGAAATCACTCTTTATTTGGCTACCGAGCTAGTGTAACCAAAAAAATTAAGGAAAAGGGTAATACTGAACAGCTGTTCTCTTTCTCTCTCTAATATTTCTCTTTCAATTTTCGCTCCATGTTTGGGGCGTCAAAATAAATCAAATGAAATTTTTGTACACCCCGAGATCAGCTGTTTACTTTTTTTTAACCGGCAACGCCATTCAATTTCACAGCCATAATTTTCGTCGTCAGAATACTGGCAAAAACTAGGAAGCAAAAATTTATTCTTCTTGAAAATGCCAGATCTGCCCGGTGAAAGGCTAAGTTGGCAGCACTGCTAGTAACGTCAGGTTTGACTCGGTTTGTTAAAACTTGTATGCTCTTGCTGCTTTTTAGTGTCTACATGTACTATTAGTTTTTCTCAGCTTCGTCCAGATATTGGGACACTTCGTAAAAGTCCTCTTCAGTCCTTGTTTACCGCTTTATTTCATTAATATTTCCTAGAAGAAGTGGGACAACATTAAAGATCCCGACCAGCACAACAATTTTGTTCCCAAAGCGTTTGAGCTTTTCTCACTGATGTAGATTGCAGGGGACTTAATGGTCGGTTTTCCTCAACCTTCGTCAGGACGGAAAACCTTTTGTTGCTGGATCGTAGATCTTTTAGACGAGAGTTATTTTTAAATTTTTGGCCCACCGGTTAATTTTACGGTCTAAGCTTACATTTAATCTGAATGTGGTGATCCATTTGCATGCTTTTTTGCGTGACACTAATCTATATGACCACTCGCCTGTGCTTCTAACGCTTCTTCAAAGCCCAGAAATAACCGAACACCCCTTCAGTCTGACGACGACAAAAACAAACTGGCTAAAATACAAAAAGTACGTGAGTGCCCACATAGAACTCGCCCCGGATTTTAACATGGAATCGGACATCGACTACACTACGAGCGCCCTGGAAGAAGTACTCGTTGCGGCAGCTAAAATCTCTACTCCTCATAGGAAAGAAGTAGACCGAAACAAACACTTCAAATCTAATCAGCAAATCGAACAGCTCGTGCGAGAAAAGAGGCGCACGCGTCGTGATTGGCAAAACAGCAGATCACCAGCTTCAAAACAACGCCTTAAGGAAGCAACCCGATCACTCGACCAGGCTCTTCACCAACAGGAAGAAAATGCACAGCTGAGGTACATCCAGAATCTCTCGCCAACAAGCACAAAGTACCCCCTGTGGAGGGCCCACCCAAATCTTAGTGCCCCAATTGAAACGACCACCCCGATAAGAAACTCTTCGGGATGCTGGGCTCGCAGCAACGAAGACCGAGCTGAAACATTCGCCACACATCTCCAAAGTGTCTTCCAGCCAAACCCAGCCTCAAATTCATTCCTCCTGCCAGTAATTCAGCCAGAGTCCTCCCCTCAGCCAGCCGCACCTCCATTCCGGCCGAACGAAATCGAAAAAGTCATAAGAGGGCTAAAACCAAAAAGGCTCCCGGTGGTGACCTATTGACCCCAAAGATGCTGATCGAACTTCCAAAATGCGCTATAGAGGTCGTCTGCAAACTATTTAATGGAATCATTAATCTTGGCTATTTCCCAAAAAAGTGGAAGAAATCCATTATTATAATGATTCCGAAGCCTGGAAAAGACCACACAATTCCGTCATCATACAGACCAATAAGCCTTCTATCTTGTTTGTCTAAACTGTTTGAAAAATGCTTGTTAACTCGCATAATACCACATTTGGAAGCTTGCAATATCATCCCGGCACACCAATTTGGCTTTCGAAGAAACCATGGAACCATCGAACAAGTGAACAGATTAACATCCGAAATACGCTCAGCCTTCGAACAACGAGAATACTGCAGCGCTATTTTCCTCGACGTATCTCAAGCTTTCGACCGAGTTTGGCTCATCGGACTCATGCACAAAATTAAAACGTATTTGCCAACATACACCCACAAGCTACTGGAATCATACCTCTTCAATAGGGTATTCTCAGTGAGATGCAACGCAGCTACTTCGGGCGACTACACCATCGAAGCTGGAGTTCCTCAGGGAAGCGCACTCGGGCCGTGTCTATATGTTTTGTATACTGCGGATATTCCTACGAGCGCACAACTAACAACGTCAACGTTCGCCGATGATACCGCTATCCTTAGTCGCTCCAGATGCCCAACGCAGGCAACAACCCAACTGGCTAATCATCTCACAATAGTGGAAAGGTGGCTGTCCGACTGGCGCATTAAAATAAACGAACAAAAGTGTAAACATATAACGTTTACTCTTAATAGACAAACATGCCCTCCGCTTTTACTAAACGGTATGCAGATCCCTCAAGCTAACGACGTAACGTACCTTGGCGTTCACCTTGATAGACGACTTACCTGGCGTAAGCACATCGAATGCAAAAAGATGCATCTAAAACTGAAAGCCAGCAGCCTCCACTGGATCATAAACTCACGATCGCCACTGTGCCTAGACTACAAGTTACTACTGTACAATTCAGTCCTAAAGCCAATCTGGACGTATGGCTCCCAGCTGTGGGGGAACGCGAGCAGCAGCAACATAGACATCATACAGCGCGCACAATCAAAAATCCTGAGAACTATCACAGGGGCACCTTGGTATGTTCGCAACGAAAACATCCACCGGGATCTGGGCATCCTCGCAGTGAAAGACGAAATCCAGAAGCAAAAAGAGTCATACAAAGAAAAACTGTCTTCGCACCCAAATTTTCTCGCTCGGGGATTGACTCGGGTTTCTAGCGTATCCCGCCTTAGACGCAACGACCTCCCAACCCAGCAATCGATTTTTAGGGCCGTCTAACTCCGTATCAGTCAATATGACTGTTAGTTAAGTTAAAAATATAAGATTTGATACACCTCTTGTTAGTCTCGCAAAGAGAAGATTCAAGAAATAAAAGCAACGTTAAAATAAAAAAAAAAAAAACTAATCTATTTAAAACAGCTATTCAATTTTGAGTTTATTTTTTGTGAACGTTTTATACCTGTTTTGGAAATCACTCGGCAAAGCGATCCAACAAAAAACACACAAAATAAACGCGTCGACATAAGATTTTGGTTTGACTAAGTTACACCCTTGCAAAGGGAAACATCTCCGACCCTATAAAGTACCATAGTTCTGGATCAGAATCACCTCCTAAGCATGTCCGTCTGTCTGTCTGTGGGTCTTTTTCTACGGGAACTAGTCATGCAGTTTTTAAGCTATCGACTTGAAACTTTGCACACACTTTTTTGGAAATGGTATTTTGTAAAAATACCAACTATGGTATATTTAAAGATAGAAGCTTAAGACTTTTTTTTTTAATTTTGTATTGTAATAAATTGGTTTTATTATGATATTTTCATAAGGATCGGCCAACTATATCCGATATTTGCGATATATATCCTATCTTAACGATAAAGGTATATGAACTTTGGCTCCGCCCGAAGTTATCTTTCCTTACTTGTTTTTAGCAAAGATAGTAACAATATATTGAACAACAACCATTATTTTACCTTTCACTTTGATAAATTTCCATGGATGAGTTTAACTCTGCTAATTGCTCTTTTAGCAATTGTAAGTTTGAATTAACAAAACTCAATTCTAAGGCAACTGTGTCTCGCAATTTCCGATTTGATGTTGCCTGCGACAAAAAAGGGTTTTATGCATAATTAAACTAGCCAGAAAAATTTTTCTATCCTACCTTATATAGGTTCTCCGCACCCGCTCTCAAGCGCAACTCTTTATTAATTTCTTGGTTAAGTTTACATCGCTTGCTTTGGAGCTTACCCCGACATGTTGCTGCTCTCGGATCTGATCCCTAAAAGAACAGAAGAAAATTAATGTTTTTATGGAACAATGTTTTATTGAAATGTTTGAATATAAAAAGAATATGTTTTTTTTTTGTAATATCAGGATAACGTTTATTTAAAACGAATATGTGATTTAACTCAGATATATATAATGCCTTTAATATATAACCTTTACCTTTTATATATACATATATATAATACCTTTAATGACTGTTACACCAATAGATACTTTTTTTTTCCCCGAGCTCCGGGAAAACTGCAATATAATAGTTTTTTAAAAAATAATAAAACAGTTAACAAAATAAAAAATCTGGGGTACCTTCATATAATCGAAAAGACGCTAAACCACAATTTATAAAAAGCAATAGACAAGCTTTTTGTAAAAGTTGTGATGTGCAAAACCAAAAATATTGCATTTTTTTAAATAAATAAGTGCCACGCAATGAGCCCATTGAGCAACGACCAAAAGAACGAGCGTAAAAGCTCAGTGAACCAAAAAAACGGCTTCTAGTCTTACTTTTCAACCCGTGATACCGAAATGAAAAAATCGGCGATTAAGAACATTCAGGCTCTACTGGCCGGTGAAAGGCAAAGGCAACGGTCTTGCTCGCCCGTTCCGCTCACTCCAACTCCCGCGTCATGAAGTTCGCAGTCTAAAGCCCCTCGTCCAATGGCGGAAAAAAATTTCGCACTAACAACAAACAGTGCTAACATTTTTGCAGCCACAGCGACAACCACTGCAATTCAAAATACCGCAACGTCAACGACTATAGAGAGTTCAAAAACAACAACTTTGAGAAGTCCCAAAGCGGCCCCGGCCACACAGACTGGAATGGAGTGCTAATAAAACAAAAATGAACCGCGTCCAGAAGATCTACGAAGATCCAGGCATATCCAGTAGTAACAGATTTGCCCTACTGGCGGAGGTTGGGGAAAACCAACCAGCCCAAGACACCGCAAAAAAACCCAAGCCCCCTCCAATCTATATTAGGGAGAAAAGCTCGAGTGTCCTGGTCAACCGAATTGCGGCGTTCATCGGGAACGGTGACAACTTTTATGTTGTCCCGCTTATCAAAGGTAACATCCATGAAACAAAGGTGCAAACCAAGACTGAAGAGCACTTCCGAATCGTTTCCAACTATCTGGACAGTGCTCAGAAAAACTATTACACGTACCAGCTGAAAAGCAGTAAGGGCCTACAAGTGGTAGTAAAGAGAATCGAGCCCGATGTTAACGCCGCGGAAATAAAAACCACCCTTAAAGAAAAGGGCTTTGCCGCCAAGAATGTTATTAACATTCTAAATAAAGATAAAAAGCCACAACCTCTCTTCAAGGTCGAGCTCGAGCCAGAAAGCAGGTCCCTGAAGAAGAACGAAGGCAGGTCCCTGAAGTCTGCATCTTCTGCATCTTATCTCTTTGGTCCAGTGCAATGCTTTAATTGCCAAGAATATGGACACACACGGTCTTACTGTACAATTCGGGCTCTCTGTGTAGTCTGCGCGGACGCCGACAACTCCGCTCACTACACTACAAACAAGGACAGTACGCATGTACTCGCCTGTGCTTTCAACGCATCTTTCAGCCCAGAAATAACCGAACACCACTTCAGTCTGACGTCGCCAAAAACGAACTGGCTTAAATACAACAAGAAAGGAAAGCTAGCCGAAGTTCATGTAAGTTCATATACCCTTGCAGTCAAAACCGGATATATATCGCTAATATGGGATAAAGTTGGCCGATCCTTATGAGAATATCATAATATAACCAATTCATCACAAAACAAAATCTAAAAAAAGTCCCAAACTTCTATATTCAAAAATACCAAAGTTCGTATTTTTACCAAATATCGTTTCCGATCTTTCAGTTATATGCCAATCAGTTTTATGGCAGCAGGATATATGTAGTTGCTGTTGTATGCCGATATAGTTGTACTCGTTGCTTCAGCTAATATCTCTACTTCCATGGGAAAGAAGTAGTACGAAACAAATACAAATACAAACCAAACAAGAAAGCAAAGCTAACTTCGGGCGGAGCCGAAGTTTATATAACCTTGCAGTTAAAATCGGATATATATCGCAAACATCGGATATAGTTGGCCGATCCTTATGATTACATCATAATAAAACCAATTAATTACAATAAAAAATCTAAAAAAAAATTCCAAGCTTCTATCTTCAAAAATACGAAAGTTGATATTTCTACCAAATACCATTTCCGATCGTTCAGTTATATGGCAGCTATAAGATATAGTCGGCCGATCCTTATGAAATTTAGCATGTCGTAATGTGTTGCCAAAAATAGCTCTCGTGTCAAATTTGAAATCTCTAACTCTAAAAACACCAAAGTTATACCATTTCCGATCAATCAGTTATATGGCAGCTATAGGATATAGTCGGCCGATCCGGGCCGTTCCGACTTATATACTGCGTGCAAAGGAAAGAAGGGTGTGTGCAAAGTTTCAAGTCGATAGCTTTAAAACTGAGAGACTAGTTTGCGTAGAAACAGACAGACGGACAGATGGACAGACGGACATGCTCATATCAACTCAGGAGGTGATCCTGATCAAGAATATATATACTTTATAGGGTCGGAGATGTCTCCTTCACTGCGATGCACACTTTTGGACAAAATTATAATACCCTCTGCAAGGGTATAAAAATGCTCCCGGTGGTGACCTACTGACGCCAAAGATGCTGATCGAACTTCCAAAACGCGCTTAGAGGTCGTCTGCAAACTATTTAATGGGATCATTAATCTTCGCTATTTCCCAAAATAGTGCAAGAAATCGTACGTCAGACCAATAAGCCTTCTATATTGTTTGTCTAAATTGTGTGAAAAATGTTTGCTTACAAGCATATTACCACATCTGGAAGCTTGCAATATTATCCCGGCACACCAATTTGGATTCTGAAGAAACCATGGAATCATCGGGCAAGTGAACATCTGTTCACATCTGTTAATCTTAACATCCGAAATACGCTCATCCTTCGAACAGCGAGAATAGTGTAGCGATATTTTTCTCGATGTATCTCAAGCTTTCGACCGAGTTTGGCTCATTGGACTCATGCACAAACTTAAAACGTATTCGCCAACATATTCTCAGTGAGATGAAACTCAGCTAATTCTCAGTTCCCATCTGTGGGGGAACGCGAGCAGCAGCAACATAAACATCATACAGTGGCCACAATCAAAAATTTTGAGAACTATCACTGGGGCACCTTGGTATGTTCGCACTGAAAACATCCACCGTCTTCGCACGGTGTCTGTCTTCGCACCCAAATTTCCTCGCTTCGGAATTGACTCGGTTTTCTAGAGGATCCCGCCTGTGACGCAACGATCTCCCAGCCCAACAATCGATTTTTAGGGCAGCAACCGTGTAAATCTGTACCAGTCAACATGACTGGTAGATAAGTTAAAAATGTAATATTTGGTACACCTCTTGTTAGTCTCGCAAAGAAAAGATTTAAGAAATAAAAGCAACGTTAAAAAAAACAAGAAAGGAAAGCTAACTTCGGGCGGAGCCGAAGTTTATATACCCTTGCAGCTAAAGTTGGGTCATTTTCGATCGTTCAGTTATATGGCAGCTATAGGATATAGTCGGCCGATCCTAATGAAATTTGGTAGGTTGGATCAACTAACCAAAAATAGAGTCTGTACTAAATTCCAGCTTTCTATCTTCAAAAACACGAAAGTTGGGTCATTTCCGAGCGTTGAGTTATATGGCAGCTATAGGATATAGTCGGCCGATCCTTATGAAATTTGGCATGTCGTATTATTTTGCCAAAAATAGCTCTCATGTCAAATTTGAACTCTCTAACTCTAAAAACACCAAAGTTATACCATTTCCGATCAATCAGTTATATGGCAGCTATAGGATATAGTCGGCCGATCCCGGCCGTTCCGACTTATATACTGCGTGCAAAGGAAAGAAGGGTGTGTGCAAAGTTTCAAGACGATAGCTTTAAAACTGAGAGACTAGTTTGCGTAGAAACAGACAGACGGACAGACGGACAGACGGACAGACGGACAGACGGACATGCTCATATCAACTCAGGAGGTGATCCTGATCAAGAATATATATACTTTATAGGGTCGGAGATGTCTCCTTCACTGCGTTGCACACTTTTGGACAAAATTATAATACCCTCTGCAAGGGTATAAAAAAACAAAAAACAGATTTAACGTCAAAATAATATATGTTGACCTAACGATTCTTTCTCTGAAATTGCTGATGGGAGTATCTGCCTTGGATATAAAGGATTTAGGTTATAGTAAAACCAAAGATTCTATATAATTTCTTACATAATCAAGAGCTCTTAAGCAATAACTTTTTGAGATTAAATGAAAACAAGAAAGAAAAGCTAACTTCGGGCGGAGCCGAAGTTTATATACCTTTGCAGTTAAAACCGGATATTTATCGCAAACATCGGATACAGTTGGCCGACCCTTATGAGAATATGATAATATAACCCAATTTATTATAATATAAAATCTAAAAAAAAGTCCCAAACTTCTATCTTCAAAAATACCAAAGTTGGTATTTCTACCAAAACACATTTCCGATCGTTCAGTTATATGGCTTATGAAATTCGACATGTTGTATTATTTGCCAAAAATAGCTCTCACCTAAAATTTGAACTCTCTAACTTTAAAAACACCAAAGTTATACCATTTCCGATCAATCAGTTATATGGCAGCTATAGGATATAGTCGGCCGATCCGGCCGTTCCGACTTTCCGCAAGGGAAAGAAAGGGTGTGCAAAGTTTCAAGTTGATAGCTTTAAAACTGAGAGACTAGTTCGCGGAGAAACAGACAGACAGACGGAAATGCTTATATCAACTCAGGAGGTGATCCTGATCAAGATTATATATACTTAATAGGGTTGGAAATGTTTCTTTCACTGCGTTGCACACTTTTAACAAAAATTATAATATAATAGACAAAAATAAAATTTAAAGAGCCCTATCCAATTTTAGAAATCCCAACTCTCCCACAGAACACTTGTTT